AGGTATCCGCAATGCAGCGAAAGCTGACATTGGATACACTGCATCTCAACTCGTTTACGGAACGACACTCCGACTCCCAGGAGAATTCGTGGATCCTTCAGCTTCTTCATTGAACATGGATCTAAACTCTTACACGAGCAGGCTTACAAACACAATGCGTTCAGTTAAACCTGCTCACACTCGACCTCAATCAACTGATGTTTTCGTTCAACCCGAATTACGACATAGTACACACGTCTTCGTTCGTCGAGACTCACATCGACGACCCCTCGAATCAGCATACGAAGGACCCTTCAAAGATCTTCAACGCGAACATAAGTACTATGTAGTCGAGTGTATTTTCGACATTCACCCAACGTTCTATTTTTCTCTCTTTTCCAAGACGGCTAGGAAAGAACGACGAAGTTTCACAAGGAACCAAAATTTTCATTGTACTTTATTGCTATGTTGTACATTTTGGTCCCTTAGTTTAAGGAAAGACGACCAGACGCTGCTAAACGAAGCAAGCTATCAGAAGAGTGTTTACTAACGACAAACTCGTTGGGTTTAAACTTCTGGCTGGTCACGTCTTGGGGACATCACTACCTCACTAAGGGCGGAGTGATCTGTAGCTGTAAATAATTCCCCAAAATCAATAGCTTTCTAAGTGTTCGACATTGGATGCTGACCACATTGTTTTAAGTGGACTTGTTTAACTGAAGGCTTCGGTCATGCATCCGTACCAGATCACGTTACGACCCAGCGTGGGACACAGCTCCAACGTTCAGTAGCCAGATTAGAGCAAACGCTCCTCAATATATTGTTAACACATCAAATATATGTTTCCGATCTCTTCGCATCTGACTTCTGATTTTAACTGGTTGGGGAAAGCTTCGAATATAGAAGGTGCTGCAAAACGACAAGACTACACTAACCTTGTGTCACTATTTAAAAAGGACAGTGGTATTTTTCCTCGTTGAGTAAATTCTATTGTTTTGATCGTTATTAACGTATCAAGACTACTGTTTTTATACTTTGATTGAATTTCTTTCAGTTAAAGTATTCTATTAGAGTATCATCTTTGGTGTCCTAAATAGTTTTATCGTCGGTACTCCAGAGTACCTTTTTTTTCCATTGTGTCTGTTAGTACTTTGGTCCTAACTGTTTATAGTTTTTTTCTACTTATAGTCAACACTCACTTTCGCATCCTAAAATGACTGGAAGATGCAACAAAAGCATTTGCCACCGCCCAGGATGTCGATATCCTGTTGATAGTGGCATGCAGTGAGATGAGTGCAAAGGTTGGTACCACGATGTGTGCACGAATCTAACACCTGCAGCTTTCAGGCGGTTTAGTAAAAATGGGTGTGTTTGGCTATGTCAACAGTGCTGTTTGGATGCAAATAGCCTGCTAACCGAGGCCATTTCAATAGTAAATGCCGCAAAAAAGTGTCTCGGCAAGCGCGGTCGAGATACATCAGTCAGAACTCAATCTGTCGACACGCAGATTGACACAAGGCAGGCCCAAGTGAGTCCAAAAACTGCCGACCCACACCCTACTAAGGAGGAAGAACATCCTCCAAAGAGGACTGTTACAACCAGAAACTCGCGCAAAAAAGTCTCTTCTGTCCCTCGCATCAAAAATGGTACCCAGAAGGGAACTCCAGGAAGCCGAAACCGCAAGGCTCGATCGGTTTCCAGCGCGAAAGATGACCCGATCTCCCAAGTCGTCCTGACTCTTCCGGAATCCCACAGTACGCCTGACGCGAATGTGGTTACCACTCCAAAGAACGTTGGCGATTGGGTACGGATCGTAAGAAAAAAACGCCAAAATGACGTAAAAGGAAATCATACGCCCACCAAAAGGGTCGACAAGCCGAGGTCTGATCACAGCGACAGATCAGTCATTCTCCATAGAGTCAAGGAGAGTGACAACTTAGAACCGAAAGCTCGTTTTGAGCATGACATTGTGTTGATAAAACAACTACTCAACCAAGTTATGCCCAAAAACATCCCCGGAGTCACCTTGCTAAAGGTGTATAGACTAGGAAATCTAGCGCATCTGAAACCAAATCAGTCTAGACTACTCAAAGTCGTTTTCAAATCCTCAAACGAACGCGACTTAGTCTTAGAAAATGGACACAAATTAAAGGGTTCAGGAGTTTTGCTCCGTAAGGACTTACCGTTGGCGGACCGTGTTAAAAGACGGGAAGCCGAAAAGGAACTATAGCTCAGATTAGACGCTGGCGAAAAAGACCTGAAAATTGTAAATTTTCGGGTTGTGAGGCTTCGACAGAGGATGATGCCGAAGCCACTCTGGGTGAAGCACGAGGTCACCTAAATAGGCTTCGGATCTGTTATACCAACGCCCGGAGCTTACTAAATAAGCTACCGGAACTAGGTGTACAAATTGACTCAACTAGGCCAGACATAATCGCAGTCACAGAAACATGGCTGACGCCGTCTATAGATAGTAGGGAACTTGATTTCGAGGGTTTTACATTGGTAAGGGCCGATAGAATACAAACGCGTAAAGGAGGGGGAGTAGCTCTATTCATTAGGAATGCTATTCCATTCACCATTATCGACAGTGTATCCCATGAGAGTGGGACGTATGAATTAGTTTGCTGCCGCCTGAAATGCAGGGGACAAGAGTTACTTCTTAGTTTGATCTATCGCAGTCCAAGCTGTGAGGCAAACGAGGTCCTGCTAAGCAGTCTCAACACTTTATCACGAAGTGATCGATGTCTAATCCTAGGGGACTTCAATGCACCCATGGTGGACTGGGGAAATCTGCGGACTGAATCGTCAGCAAACTCCTTCGAACAGGAACTAGTTGATGCGATAATCACATGTGCTCTAGTGCAACACGTGAAGGAAGCAACTAGGTGCGACCCGGGTTCTGCATCATCCTTACTAGATCTTATATTGACTCATTATGAGGATGATGTTGCAAACCTGGATTACATGCCACCCCTAGGCAAAAGTGATCATGCAGTTTTAAGCTTTGACTTCCATATAACTTCCATATAAACCAAAGGACAAAAAGAAGAAGAAATGCTCCTTCACTATGGGGAGACAGTACTGCCTCGTCACTAGTGGAGGATGACTTTGGCAAAGCTCAAGTATTCTCTAAATACTTTAGCGATGTATACACCATAGAAACACCCTTCTCACCAGTCCATGAAAATCCACCCACACAAGCACTGGACAGCGTAACCATTAAAGAACTCGATGTCTTTGGTCTGCTAGTTAAGCTTGACATAGGTAAATCCACTGGACCCGATGAACTGCATCCTAGGTTATTAAAGGAATTAGCTAACTTTGTTGCGAACCCTTTAAGTGTATGTTTTAATCTATCCGTAACCCAGGGTCGTCTACCAAATGACTGGAAGAACGCCATAGTAAGTCCAGTCTTCAAGACAGGTACAAAACATAAGCCTGAGAATTACCGACCAATTAGCCTAACTAGTGTGGTTGTTAAAATCTTAGAAAAGATTATTCGGAAGGAACTGTTAAAGTATCTCGATGAAAACCGGATCCTCTCCGAAAAGCAGCATGGTTTTAGAACAGGTTACTCTTGTCTCACAAACTTATTAGTCGCTCGTGAAAGCTGGTGCGCTCTTAAGGACCAAAAATTACCTATAGACGTAGCTTACATCGATTTCAGCAAAGCTTTCGACAAAGTTCCGCATAACCGGCTGTTATATAAGCTAAGGAATGTCGGGATTGGAGGCAATCTATTGATGTGGATAAAAGACTTCCTAGTTGGGCGTCAACAAGGAGTAAGGGTGAACTCCAAGTTGTCTAGCTGGGAAACTGTGCTTAGTGGAGTCCCCCAAGGTACAGTTTTGGGGCCAGTGTTATTCCTCCTGTACGTAAATGATCTCCCTCGTCTACTATCGTCATCGGTCTTACTCTATGCTGATGATGTCAAGATATGGAGAGCGATACAAAGCAAGGGCGATAGCTTAGAACTTCAAAATGACCTGGAGAGATTATCTGAATGGTCCCAAACCTGGCAATTGCCGATAAACACTTCCAAGTGTATTGTGATGCATATTGGCCATCAGGGTACAGATACATACACGATGAATAACACTGAGTTACCTATTGTTCATGCACACAACGACTTAGGCGTCATCGTCAGTCAAGACTTAAAGACTACTGCACACTGCCGTGCAATAGCCGCCAAAGGTTTTAGGACTTTATGGTCCATACGCAGGGCTTTTAGGCATCTTGACGCTAAAACGTTTTTGACTTTGTATACAGTGTTCGTACGCCCTAAACTTGAGTACTGTATACAAGCAGCTAACCCCTGCCTAAAAAAAGACAGTGAACTCTTGGAAAGGGTTCAGAGAACAGCAACTAAGCTGATTCCCGAAATAGCGAAGCTCCCGTATGGTAATAGACTGACCAAGCTAAACCTATTCCCGCTGTCATATAGAAGAATCAGAGGTGACTTGATTATAGTTTTCAAATTGCTAAATGACAAATTTGCACCTGATATGCCCTCATTTTTCTTGTCTTCCAAAACAGAAAATCTACGAGGACACTCCAAAAAAGTTCACAAGCCCAGAACGAATTACTTGTCAGCTGACTACCGACTTTCCCATCGAATAATCAACGAGTGGAATTCATTACCTCAGCACGTGGTTGAGGCTCCATCCGTCGACTCCTTCAAAAGAAAGTTGGATCAGCTGAGAGACCATCATTGCCAGGTCTAACACAGGCCATCAAGCCTCCTGTCCTTTCCAAACTGAAACTGAAACTGAAACTTGTGACTCCACAATGAAAGACCTGAGACTAAAAGCCATTTAGCTTGTTTGAAGTAAAACTTAAAACTTAGTAAATTACAAAGAATATATAAAGTTAATAAAAAACTTCTGGAGGTTTTGGAAATATTGTGTAGCAGCTAACGTATCAGCATTGTTTGAATGAATCGTCGACTTCAAAGATTACCTTGTCAAGTTTTAAAATGGAATTTTAGATGTACATTCGAAAAGACGTTCGGTTGTGCAATGCATTCGATCAACTGGCAACCATGCTTCGTCTTTCATTTATCCATATTCGCACTCGGATTATTACTTAAGAGGCCGCTTTTTGAATCGATTGTCGCTTCGTACTTATTGTATATACCTTTGGGAGGTTGGCGTTATCAACGTATCTTTATTTTAACTATTCTCAGAGACCTTGTGTAAGTTGCTTTGTTCAAAATGAAAGTTCATGTCAATACCAATTTTCGAATCATATCTGTAGTCTGAAATAAGTTTGTTTTTTACTTTTTCTAGTGTATCTACGTTAACTTCAATACTCTTATGAGTAAGACGTATTTTCTTCCTGCATTTTGCGTGTGACTGTTTCTAGTTGTAGTTTAACTGGATAATTTATCTTCGTGCAGAAGTCTTTATTCAGTTCATTCAAAGTTTACTATTCAGCATTTCGAATGAAGTTATAACTTCGACTATAACAGCGACTATAGTCGCTGTTACACTTCTATCTTGGTTATCATTTTGTATATTATCCAAAATCCTGAGTATCCTGTCTCTAGCTAAAATATCACGCGACAACCAATAATGGGATGGGTTTAATCTGCATATAAAGGATAGTGCGGTGTTAAGTGAACTTCATAAGTTTTTACATCATTTCACATTTAGTTAGGGAAGTAGTTAATAAATAGGGACCAATATCGCCATAAACGTATGATTTGAATGCTATCGTTTTCTAGTTTTTTTTTTCAATGCTAGTGTGGTCCCGAATTTAACATGAGCTCGGATCTGTATGTCAATACTACTCACGATATATTGGAATGTAAAAATCCACCCATCACTTCAGTTGTATGTTTTTATCAGGAATCACCGTGCTGGTCTTCGTATTGGTAGTGTCGCCGACCGTAATGATTGAAATATTCAGTAATGCGTATTATAGTCGTTTTCGTAACTTTCTACTTTATTCAACGTACGCGGGATATTTCTGAGTTCTTTTAAATTTATGGTTTCGTCCATAACCTGTTGAATTTTAGCATCGTCAGCTCATTTCATACTGTGACTATCAGTAAAAGCTAATCAGCCAGTTAAAAATTACATGTAAATGTTAGTTATGCAGGCGCGTTATATTTCAGGTCCATCAGTCTGTGATGACAGTTTAGCCAGTCGACTTGGTGTTTCTTCCTAAGACTCAAAATTATTTGGTGGATGATGACTGGAGCCTGTGCAGCCAGAAAATCTAGTCACTACAAAAATTGTGTCAAATAACCCTTGTTGGTCTATTTTCATGGTGTAGCCCAGAGATGTAATCTGTGGTGTCAGGTGTCCGAATTTCGGAGTTATGGTACATAAGAAAGAAATCTAAACGCCTATCGACGGCACATTAATCAGTAGATGATAAAGCCACCAACGAACTCACTATTTTTCGACTAATCACCCGAGTTTTCGTTTATAATTGTTCGTTTCTCTTTTCAACTTGGTTGGCCTTTCCTCCAGTTTTGCAGTTTAGATCTAAGTACTTCGATGTGTAATATCAGGCCCACTTTTATATGTTCGTCTATCCGGACAGCAGGTTGGGAATTTCATGTAGGTGTTTTGAAAGTTTACTACCTGATCCACATTACGATTGTATTAGTTTGAATGATCATATAATATTGTTTGTTCAATAGTGGATTACGATGCTTGTTCATGGTTCAGTTAAATATTCTCTGGCTCCAATGGACGGGACAAACTTTTTCAGACGTGTTCAAATGTACCGTAAAAAAGCGGGGACCAGAAAAGGTTGCTATTTATTTTGAGGACCAAGTATGGACCTTTGGGCAGCTGGATGCGTACTCAAATAAAGTAGCGAATTACCTGGCGAAATGTGGTTTTAAACGAGGTGATATATTGCTGTTGTTTATGAATTCCTGTCCGGCATATATTGGGATATGGTTAGGAGCAGCTAAAGTAAGTTATCAATTTCTTTAAAAGTTTATTTCGTGTTGTGGAAGTGATTTCTGTAATATTATGCCACTCAATTCATGTGGTACTTGATAGCCATACTAATGTGTGAATTTTAACCTATCGTAGTGTTTACTTTGTACATTTATAGTTTTCAAGGCCACTACAATACACCTGAGATCATCGGTGCACGGCCTGTATGTCTTCCGTACCAAGTCAATGAACAATAGTTTTAAAAATGGGTTTCTTATATTCCACTAATTTTGAAGATCGATATTTCCTAGCTTCAGACTAAAATTTATTTCCATATATACGTGGTAATATAGTTTTGGTTTAATTATAAAGTTAATCTGATCATCTAGTAACAGTTAGGGCATCACCTAGATGTACTATTTTAATAAAAGTACCGGACAGAATTGTATCTGTAATCTGCTGTAAGTGTATAGCAGCAATATTAATACGCAAGGACAGTCGGTTGTTTTGGAGTATCCCGCGATATGTATTATTGCTTAACAATTCTCAGGGCTTAGAAATCACCTATTTTTAAAGGTGAAGATCCAAATAAACTGGTTTTCCAGAAGTAATCATTATTTAAAATTTCTAACATACTACAAAGCTTGGAATAGACAATGATGATGTTTAATTGTAGTACTAAGACTGGCGGAGAAACGATCGCAAAAGTGTAATGAGCCGTTTATCATGAAATAATGGTCAGGATGAGTAGTTTGTGTTACAATACTTCACTGAAGAAGTTAAACACATTCAGTTTCCCATAGATCAGCATTAGGAACTGATCATTTTTAACTCAACATAAATGACATCAGATTTTATACACGAGTCTACTGACGCCAAATTATAATAGACAATATTGACTTAGCGAAACAGAGAACAGTCTAAGCAGTTTTACAGTTTGGTTTTCAAATTTGGTGTAGATATTCTCTAGATTACGCATAACACACCTTAAAGATGGTAATAAAGCCAGTCGAGACTTAGTTCAGCATATGGTAGATGAAGTTTGCCTCTAAAGAGATACTGAACACTGTACTGAAGTTGATAGGACATCTGTATAGTATACGTATCTAAGAACATCAGTTTCTCGTTAATAACTGGTTTTGTTTAGAAAACATGTATGTACTCTCTTAATTTAATAGGTCGGTGTTGCAACTGGTCTGATAAATACTAATCTTTGTAAAGGATCACTTATTAATTGTATTAAAACGCTGAATGCGCGTGGAATAGTTGTGGGTTCCTCTTTGAAAAAAACTTTTGAAACGGTCAATGAGTATAATGATTTATCATTAGAGACGATATGGATAGCTGATGAGAAAAGTAGTTTACCAGAAACTGCTTATTCCAATTCAACTTCTTCAACATGTAGCTGGAATATAGCACTTGCACAAGTTCCACACTGTACTCCAATTCCACTCCAACGAATTGCTAATTCCCGTGAACATTTGATCTACGTCTATACCAGTGGTACAACTGGTTTGCCTAAGGTATTTAAAAGCTATGTTTACATGTTTAATCGTTTTTGTCATTTCATTTTTATTACAGAATAAAATGGTTTGTAGCATGCTAGCTTCCATAACCATTCAGTACTTAATTACAGCTCAGTTTCCGACCTGCCTTTCATTTTTTGACGGTGTTCATCTTTATAATCAGGTTATAGAACATAAATGTATTTACTGCCGTCCAAATATAGTTAAATTTTATACATTTCCTTTTTCCCTATACATTTTTATTAAAATTTAATGTAGATTCACTTGTTACTGGATTATTTTCATCAGCTCAAAATCATAAAAAGAATAATATTCAGAACAAAAAAAGTACATTTTATATCAGGAAATTTTTGATTACGATGGCGTTTGATGCGAAAGGTACTGGGTTCAAGTCCCAGAGTGAACATCAACTCTGAGATGCAGGCACATCCAGCTGACGAGTCCCAAGTAGGACGAATCGCGCGTCCTGGATTCCACTGCCAGACACTATCCATCTTTGCTTGCCATGCTATATCGAGGCAATACGCACATTATGCACATATGCCAATTAGAGACTGACCAGTTGCAGTCCTAAAAACATCAATTGGAAGATTCAAACAAACAATAATAAGTAAATTTTTGATTATGCTTGGGTTTGAAAAGTAGATATAGATTAGTAAATAGACATTTATTGTGGAAGGATTAAAATAGTCGTTCATATGGTTGTATATTTATAGATTAACTGTATGCAATGTCTTGCTGTTTTTTTTAAGAGATTTAATCCTTTTAAAGGTAATTAATATCGACCATTCACGTTTAAAGAAACATTTAGAATTATGAGATATTGAACATATTTACACATATATTTACAAATCATGAGGAATGTGTTCAGCAGTTAGATTTTATATTGAAAAAGTTACGTTTGATTTGCTGAGGCAAGTCAAGTTGTTTTTAATTCATTTAACTAGTTAGATTGTAATTTGTTTCTTTTCGTGAAGATATACTACTGATTAATAACTATTTTATGGATGAAAATAACCCAGAGATGGGCTAAATAACTTATGATGGTGATTAAATGTAAAGATAGTTTGATTTAATATCTAATTATAGATTGTTGTTTCGTATATGTTGTGAAATAAGTCTAAAAAGATAAACATTCAAAACTCAATAATTCATCCCCATTAAACTAAGTAACTAAGACTTTGCTACAATGAAACTTTAAAAAATAACATGTAGATTTATATTGGTCAGTTCTGGTATCTTACTGGATCAGAGACTGCATTGAATTTAAAATGTGTATTGAAAATATATTCATCTCATGTTCTCTCCGGTCTGAATACATTTTATTTCGTTATTCTCAAGTTTACTATTTATTTTTCATCTCATCTTTATCAACACAGGCTGCTATTGTGACGAATTTACGCTACACTCTAATGGTTGTTGGTACTAAATACTCATTTGGTATTAAGCAATCCGATATTATATATGATCCTCTACCGTTATATCATACAGCTGGTGGAATATGTGGAGTCGGACAAATGTTACTAAATGGTAATACAATTGTAATAAGATCGAAATTCTCTGCATCACAGTTTTGGCCAGATTGTGTAAAATATAAATGCACGGTGAGTTATTGCTATTATTATTATATTTGTTTCAGCACATTATTTTCCTTCCCATTGTAATCACATTTCGATATTTACTACTCTTAAGTCGATTTTCTATAAGTCACTTGTTTATTTCGCCAAATGATTTATTATTGATATCCCTAACTACACCGTTCATCTTACCCATATCCAGTTAGCCAATCATAAACAAAGTAGAACCTATCAAGTATATGCATTGTTTGAAGTTATTACACTACATTAAAACGGCGAGATGGCATCATTTCAGACGATTATCAAAGTAGTCAAAGTAGTAGTATGTGATATTAAAAAGAAATTATCAGGCATAGATAATGAATAAATTAACAGGATTAAGGATATAAAATAGTTTTGAAGCTTAGAATCTAAAGTCAGATAAAGAGTGAGCTCATCTGAACCGTATCATCTATCCTGAAGATAATATAAACGGAATAACAGAAATTACATGATTATTGATCTTACACAAATATTTTACACATAATGAGCAATGGTGTAATAACACTTAACTTGACAACTTGATGAAGATCGAAGAAAGAATGACTGATCTTTGTGAAAAAGCTTCATGCTTGAGAAAAAGAAATTCTAGTAGCAATCACTTCTGATTAAATTATGCTTAAATGACCTTAGAAAATATAATGGTTTATCGAATAAGGTAATAAGATATAAGTACTAATTGGGAGATATGTGCGAAAGTAGACCTGATTGATACGGAAAGATGGTAATTTAAGTAGTTTTAGTAATGATATTTTTGGTGACCTCAAGATCTACTATCCTATATACGAAACAAACCATCTAAGTTGCGTTCAGTGGTCTGACAAGCTTAAATATTTGTCATTCCATTTTTTTTTTACCGACAACCAGTTTTTAAAGTGAAGATTAATTAAAAACATGATGTCATCATCCACTGATTCATCACTAACCCACTCAATACTCATTTTCTAAAAAACTGAAATTCCTAAGACAATTCGTGGTTAAATATACTGTAAATGATTTAGTAGTCATTTTGAATGATCACTTAACTTTCAATTACTCAATTATTAATTCAAATACCTAATTTGTTCTTATCAATCAAACTACAGTATTGTCCCACAAAAAAATTAGTAATAAATAGATGTAGTTTACAGTGTATTATGTGAAATGATATATTTTAACAAATATTTTATGTTGTTTCACATTCACGATAGTGGTAATTGTATCACGGAAGTTAAACGTCTTTCCATACATGGCAATAATCATTGGTTGTGATGGAAATGATTGACTACTTATTGAAATATAAACTAATCAAAATATTTACTATAATAATGAATAGATTAGATTGTCATGCTAAAATGACATATTAATTATGATAAGTTGGACTATTTAAGTTAAAATTATTTTTATATATAGTTGAAATCATAAGTCAATTGAAGCTAGACCACCATGGAAAACCTAGAAGCACTGGACAGTCGTTTCATCCTATTGTGGGACTCTTCATAATTTCAACTATATATAAAAATTACTAAAAATTTTCACAAACAGCCCCCTTAAATTATTTGTTAGTTTCCGGTTTTATGTAAGAATAAAATGGTTAAAATGATTTTCGAATGTCAATCTACAAAAGACAATTTAAACAATTAAAATTGTCTAATTACTAAAACATTGTTATTTGTTTCTCTTTATTGATTACTCTACTTTAGAATAACCCTATTCATTCATTTATATGTACATATATGTTGTCAATGTCCTATTCGAATACATTTATTCATTGTGTTTTATATCTGATTAATATTATCAGAGGGTATGCAAAAAATCTAGTCATTTATTACTTATCAGCAATGTATCATATTATCAGAGTTCATCTTGTTTAGAACTGATTAAATTTACAAATCTGTTGTGTGATCAATGCGTTTAATGTAAAACCTTTTTGGTATTATTCATAAAAGTTATTATAAGTGATTGAAAATATAAAAAAACAACAACAGTAGGATGGCCGTTTCGTCCAGTGCTTCCAGGTTTTCAATGGTGGTCTAGCTTAGATGGATTCGTGAATTCAACTGTTAAAAGACTGCAATTTCCACAAAGCCCCGGACTGATAATTCCATATTTCATATATTTAGTTCATCAAATAAAGTACCTATTAATGTGAAGATGTGAAAAAAACTCGAATAAAAGCGTATACAATCAATTTAGGGTAGGAAAAAAGAATCTAAATATGATATTTGAAAGAGAAAATACAATTTTACCTCAGTAAATTATATTAGTCATAAACAAAAATACATTTTTACTTATTCGCACTGATGAACGTATGAATAGTGTTTTAATTTAATTTCAGTTTAGTATTTTATTTATTTATTTCAACACATAAATATTGGTACAAGGAAGCACCAGATAAGTATGCGCCTCACAAATCTCATTCGATTTGTGTGAGGGCTGTGATACTGTCCAGGTGCCCAGACTGAAGCAGGTGGTCTTCTTAGGGGGCCATACCCCGAGCCTTTGACCTGAAGGTCTAGTCCACAAGGCAGTGGAGCATCGTGAGGAGATGCAGTCCCATGGTAACCGGTGACCAACAATTGGTTCATACACCATTTGTTTTTTTAGGATACTGGAGCCCATGTGCACCATTGGTTTGGAATCAGGGTTTTCCAACTCCTCTAGGTGGACCCTCCGTATCCACCAACCCAGTTAAAGCGCCGGACATTCGCTTTTGGTCCTCTGAATTTCGTAAACAACAGTAATGCCACGAGAAGGCAGTGAGTAGGACTTCCCTGACAGAGGCTATATATTCGCGTGTCCATGTGAGTGCATTTGGAGAGGGAGAGCGGACTCTCCCCACTCTCGACCGCACTTAATCAGTTGGCAATCAGTGTCCGCAGGTACGGCATGTGCTTTGCACCCTCCAAGTGCAAAGTACTCCTACAAGACTGTCAGGATTCTCATCCTGTACTCACCCCGGACGGGGAGCAGATTGAAGTAGTTGAGAAGTTCGTGTATCTAGGCAGCTATATAAGTGCTGGTGGTGGCGTGAGTGATGAGATTGATGCACGTATAATGAAAGCCAGAGCGGCTTATGTTAATCTGGGCCATCTTTGGCGCCTTCGTGATGTTAGTCTGGCTGTAAAAGGTCGGATCTACAACGCGTCGGTGAGAGCAGTTTTGCTCTATGCTTGTGAAACCTGGCCTCTCCGAGTTGAGGATGTTAGACGTCTCTCTGTGTTCGATCATCGTTGTCTCCGAAGGATTGCTGACATCCAGTGGCAACACCATGTTAGTAATGCAGAGGTTCGGCATCGTGTGTTCGGGCGCAGAGACGATAATTCAATTGGTGTCACCATCTTGAAACACCGACTTCGGTGGCTTGGACATGTTTTACGAATGTCGTCCCAGAGACTTCCACGTCGTGCATTATTTGCCGACCCTGGGACTGGTTGGAGAAAGCGGAGAGGAGGTCAGTGTATGACATGGTGTCGTGGCATGAAAGAGAGCTGCAAAGGGCTAGCTTTTGTTGGTCCTTCACGACTCCCTGGTTGGGGTCCGAGAGATGGTGCAACACAGTGGCTAGAGACGTTATCAGATATGGCTCAGAATAGAAGCAAGTGGCGATCCTGCTGCAACCTTCTTTTACTTTCTACATAAAGAATGGTTCTAACTTTCCTAACTGCAAGAGTCTTCTGGTTGTACATTTCAGTCCGCCTTATCTTTTCATCCCTTCTCTTGCTACTTTCATTATTTTGTGTGGTGCATATCTATCTGGTACCCTTTTGTACCAATATATATGTGTTTAAATAAAAAAAATAAATAAACTCGACCGTACCACGGCATTTGGGGGCAGTGGAACATTTCTATTTCTAATTTTATCTTTCTGAGTAAATCATTTTTTGGCTTTATTATGAGATATGGAAATAAGGATATGAATTTAATATTTCCCATCCTGATTATACATTCAGTTTCTTACACAAATCAACAGAAAGAAATACATGTGTAAATGTTATAATATTGTCTAATGTAGAATAAAATAAATAAGCTGTTACAGATACGACACTCAGTTTCTCGTACGCAATTTATTTTTAAAAGAAATGTCAATTTCTAAGTGTAATTTTTGGTGGAGTTTAGTTTTCTGACCTCCTCCAGCTAAGCTATAAATCTTCTTTGATTTTTCAATAATCAAATTGTTTATTTATCTGAATTGTACCTTTGTTCATTTTACTTTAAATTATACCATTATTTTTAATTTCTATCGAAATCAATTGATTAGTATGATAACGGTAGTTTGATTTAAACATGATAAGTCTTGTTGATTGAACGTTATATTCGGATCTTAAGTTAGTCTCTTAACCCCCGAACTAGAACTACACAGCGACTTGAACACGAGAGAAGAGGCACAAAATATACGAGAAACACTTGACTCCAAAGATTCATCTATGTACAGAAAATATAGTGTTTTTATAGTATTTTAAAAGTCCTTGGGTATTCCTGAAAATGCTAGAATGCTACTAAACATAGTAGCAGTGTATTAATCAGTCAATCAGAAACTCTACATGTGACTTTTCACTTCCGTGATATTCATAGCAAAACTTCTAATCAAACGTTGATAGGATGGAGTGCTTCTTAATGTTTGTCATGTCTGTTGCAAGCAATTTTCAGGATCATCACAACAGAACATTCTAAACGTTATAAAGGAATTAATATTTACTCAGATTGTTTATAATTTCATTAATACCCATACAATGTTTTAATGCGATAAGTGAAATTCTCTAAACAGTTGAGAATACTTCAAACTCTCAGTAAATTTCTTGCTATTTGATGAAGTGATTCTTAAAGTGTAATTGTTGAAATTATACTAGTCTTCTTAATTGCTTACTTTTTATTTACGCCTGTTACCCCTCGTGGATCATAGTCCGCCAACCAGGATTCTCCAAATAGCTGTGTCTTGAGCTCTCGTTCCCCGTTGTTTCCAAGTATTATTCGTTATTTTGATGTCTGGCTCCAATTCCTGACACAATTTGTTCTTTGTTCTTCCTCTTTTTCTTTGGCCTTCAATATTCCAAGTTAGAGCTTGCCTTCTGATACAGTTTGATTAATTATATTTAAATTGATAGTTGTACGACAAGCAGTCTATATGATCAGGTTATACATATTCATCCACTTTGAGTCAGAATTACTACTGATTTTAATGTTATCATCTATTTTGTGAAGGTTAAATCTGTGTTTTATTAGTCTATTTTCATATGTTTTTGTCAGATCGAATTGTATATCGTACAATAAGTTGAGTAATTTTCAACGGAAGCTCTGGTGATTAAATAAAATTGCTTGAAACTTAGCTCTAGTATGTTTCGCTTTCAATAAAAAGCAACTAATAATTATGTCATAGCTCTTCTTCATCGATTAGTCAGAAAGTTTGTAATTGCTCTTGTAAACTTAACTAGCCCTGTTTTGTGTACACTTATTGGTTGTGAATCATATATTAAACATAGATTTTTGTATCTAGCTTCGTACTACGCTGTTTTTAGATAGTGATACTACCTGATTGCATTGACTGAAGTAGGGATAGATAAGGGTAAACCCTTCATCCACTGATTGAAAGTCAACAGCTTTAACACCTAATTCATTACCATTTCACTTCTTCAATAATAATTTCTACTAGTATTGAATACTAATTTTTTTACGTTTAATACTTGATTAGTTTTTTATTTGTGTAATATTTATATCCATTTTGTGTTACTGCTTTGCTATTTATTACTTTTACCTAATTCTTGTTCATGTGTATTATGATGAGAAAAATTAATTACTTTGTGACCTTAATTCTTATCCTTCGTTAATCATTTGTTAAAAAGACTAATAGGGCAAAGAAACATTTCCACTAGTATTTCATTAAGTCTATACACTAATTATAGATATATTTAAGAATAATAATAATCATAAAATATATCAACCAAGTGGTAATCTTATTAGACTGTATTACAGTTTCAACTATTTATGAATAGTTAACAAAACAGTTAAACAATGATATAGATAAAGTGATAAATATCCTAAGATATAAATTAATAAATGAACGAATTAGAATATGTGGTTTTGGCGTTTGATATTTCTTTGATGTGTTCATCCGTTTACTAAATTTTTGAATGGGAAAGTTTCACTATAATCATTTATTATTGTATGATAAACATCTTAGCCATATTATTATCGGTTAAACGTTTTCTAGAAACTATCAGAAAGGGGGGTTTTGTGGAGTTTTTAGTAATTTTATTTGAATGAAATCATAAGTCAATTGAAGCTAGACCACCATGGAAAACCTGGAAGCACTGGAAGGCTGTTTCGTCCCATTGTGGGGCTCCTCAGCAGTGTGCATCCACGATCCTGCCTCACGAGATTCGAACCCAGGACCTATCAATCTCGCGCGCGAGCGCTTAACCACTAAACCACTGAGCTGGTTGGCATCCAACGGTGTTATTGTTTAACTTCAACCAATCCACAAAGTTGAGCAACCATGAGATATTTTCTGGAGTCCTAGTGAGAAACAGTAACCAGTGGAGTTCAACCAGGTCTATTGGGAGATATCAACTCACTGAAGACATTGGTGAATGGTTGCTCAATTTAGTGGATTGGTTGAAGTTAGACATTAACACCGTTGAATGTTGGCTCAGTGGTTTAGAGGTTAAGCGTCCACGCGTGAGACTGATAGGTCATTGGTTTGAATCTCTCGAGGCGGGATCGTGGATGCGCATTGTTGAGGAGTCTCACAATAGGACGAAACGGCCGTCCAGTGCTTCCAGGTTGACTCATGATTTCAACTATATAAAGTTTTCTAGAAACCTTATGACTTTAATTTTTTAGTCTAAATACACTAATTCTATATTTTTGAAATAACTTCTTTTAATTATTCCACTGTCGACTCTGTAAATAATCTTATCAAAACGTTTGCAAATCAATGAAGCTGTCATAAAAAGAATAACCTATCGTTGATGATATTCTAAACAACTGTTTTTTGTTTTATAGTATTAGAATAGTATTTATTAGTATTACTATTATTATTATCACTATTATTGTTATTATTAAACTTTCTTTGCTTTACCAATTCAACCACATGTTTTTGAAATGAATCAGTGTTTGATGTATCTGTTTGTATTAGTAGTGAACCATAACAGCATTTGTTCATGTATATATGTATATATATGAACAGTGGGTCAAATTTTGACGTAAATATGACAAGAATATACTGTATTGGTGTAACCTTTGATGATGTTCATTTCTTCTATTAATTAATGTTTTTGTTGTTTTTGTTTTACTGTACATCCTATCACTCCTAAATGGAAGTATTAAACTGATCATAAGAAGGCGTATTTATTTATTTAACTTCTACAACTTTTCTAGTTGATATCATAGACTAACGTTAGATAATCATTAAAAATCAGGATGTATTAAACAATTGTTTCATTCTATTATGTGCCTTCTTAGCAGTGAACATCCACGATCATACTGTTGATGTAAACTAATTTCTTCATCTTTTACCTTGAGCACTTAACTTTTAGACCACTGAGTTGACATCCAATGATTTACACTTCTAGTCATAATTAATTGTCAGTATAATTCAATCATCTACCAGTGCCATTGGTAAGGAACTGTTCCACTGCCCAGTACAACTAAAGTTCACCAGTTCGTGTTGTAGATTGCAAAATTCAACTATCCCCATAAACCCGTTAGATTAATTTTACAACTTTTGTTTGGCCGCCCTTCTTTTCAGCCTACTCCTGCACTACAAAACATCAATCATCGAGGCAGATTGTTATTAGGCATTCGTAACACATGTCTCAAACACCTCAATTGATAAAGATTTAATACCTCATAAATCTATTTGCCATCTTTACTTAGGACTCTATTCCTTAACCTAGGGATCGCTTACTCGGTGGTGGTTCATTGTAGTTCGATCTGTCAGTATTTACAGCTGATAAAATATTCAAACCGTCTTGTTATACACATTAAAGTAACTACTGGATATGTAAGGATAAACTATGAATGCTCTTAGATCGGTTTGTCAATAAATGCTTTTTTTTAAATTCTGTAGATGGGTTCCTATGTGGTATAATTAAAAAGTAAATTATAGTAATGGCTTATTCGTTCATAATGTAATTTTATTTAGTTTGTACATTAATGAGTGTAAATTAATAAACCTGATTTTAATAATTGTTATTATCATCACTATAATAGTAATTATTGTTACTATTCATATTACTGACAACTAATATTGTAGTGAACAAGAACATCAGTGTCTATGTAATTGCTCGCTGATACTTATGTGATTGTAGCTTTGTGGCCTGCGTCATTTGATAATAAACTGTAGTTGCCGCTTCTCTTTGCCTTCTGATTTCATGCTTCGTTGAGATTTATATAATAACGGTTATCGAGGTGAAAGATTAGCGAAGCATTGCACTACAGAATTGGAGACCCCGACGAACGAACACGAACCAAAAATACGCGTGGTCATGTGAGAGCATTTGGAGAGAAAACGCTGACTCTTCCCACTCTCGGCAGTACCAGGGCATTTGGGGGCATATAATAACGATTATCGAGGTGAAAGATTAACGAAACATTTCACTACATGCTCAACTAAGTTCGGTGTATAATGTAAACTATAAAATTTAATCACCTCTATAAACTCCTGTATAACAGATCAAGTTAATTTTTTCAACAAATGACTATGATTTATGTAAAAGCCATTTTGATATGGAGAGCCAGTCAAAAGTAATAAAAGGTTGGTCGATGGCAATCAGGCGTGACCTAGAAGACAAGTGCATTTCATTGGCTAAGAAATTAGTCAATTTCCTAAGGATAGAGTGTTATATGTTTATGAATGAGTATTTGTGCATTTTATTCGGTAGCCCAATACACTTTCTCGCCCACTCTTGTGTTCTCGCTCAAATGTTGATTTGTGAGGAAGGGGTTAGCGCATAACACGCCGTGTATCAGTATCAAATTTTGGACATCGTGCATCACAACACATTTTACATATGTCTGTACTTTCTGACCAATTGTTTTTCAAATAATTGTCATAAGAACTTCAATCAGATTGGAATTATTGTTTTTTCTCTTTCAATTAAATTTCTTTTTTTTTCCATTCTAGGTTGCTCAATACATTGGAGAGATATGTCGTTATCTTTTATGTCAACCTGTAAGACCAACAGATAAACAACATCATGTACGAGTTGCATTCGGTAATGGTTTAAGACCACAAATATGGAAAGCATTTCAAGAACGCTTCAATGTAAAACAGATCGGGGAATTTTATGGTGCTACAGAGTCAAATGCTAACATTGCTAACATGGATAATAAAGTGAGGGAGTGCCCATCAATATAAATTACTTTTTATTTGTAATTGTGACATTTTTAAATGCGAATTGTTCCTACCCACTCTTTTGGTTATCTCAGTTTTTTTAATTTTCTCAATTGTAAGAATAGTTGTACATGGTCAGAGATATACACATTTGACAAACAATATTTCACCGGGTTATTATTATTACTCTTAATTCTGCGTATTAAAATGTAAATTACATTTATTGAAAATAAGTGAGCCAAAGTTTTACTTTATTTCTAATTAAAATCAGTTCCTACTTTTTTATTGGTATCAAAACTATGTTTTACATTTTTAAATGTTACTTATTTACTGAGTAAAGATTAGTGTATTCGAATTCGTGCTAAAATTGAGTGTTTGTGTATCGATCGAAGTGATTGGAAGGCGTATATTGTATATACCCAACAACCACTTACCGTGACGCGATGATGGTTTGTGTAGGAATAGTTTAGAAAAAAAAACTAGGGGTACTCAAACTAAAATTTAGGATCTTCACATGACCATTGATCTGAAACGTCTTGGTAGGTGCAGACTATCTGGTTGGGTTTCGCGTGATTATCGTAACCGCTAGTTGAAAATGAGTAACAAGGCTCAAAATCAATAGCATTCACTCCTTGAATTCTCATAAATCCTAACTTTCAAAATCATTTCATACATTTTATTCCGTGAATGTATTCAGTCTTCTTAATTCATATTCTCTATACCGAGTTATTTTTATTATAAATAGTACAATCACTTCTACTACTTTGGTATTCATCTTGATAGATCCATCTATCTATGGTGGTGTGGCGTAATAATCTGAATTGATGTACATGTGTGTCAGGTTTTACGTTGCATATGGCTAACTGGATTTGAGTTACATTGTTTGCATGGGGTTCAATAATTTTATTCAGCTTGCTAAGTTCTTAATTAACCGAAAAACTGTTCTTATCTGTAATCTACTGGCTGAAAGTTGAGTATTGCAGATACTTATCTATTAGCCTAATTTTCCAGCAACGTGGCTTATTCAATTTCTAAATGAAATACTTTGTATGGTTTAATCATCTGTTAATTTATGTTAAGTTTTTGCTATTTTATACACCTAATTAATCTATTTAATTCAAGGTCTATGAAAATTTATATTGGTATTATTGTATATTACATAACTGACCGAATATACTTCCCAAATGCCCTTGTACGGCCGAGGGTGGGTATAGTCTGCTCTCCTTCTCGAAATGTTCTCGTATGGCCATCCGCGTATAGCCACTGTCAGGGAAGTCTTACTCACTGCCTTCTTGTGGCACACTCAGTGTCTACAGAATTGAGGGGACTGAAGGCGAATGTCCGGGGATTAAACCAAGTTGATGGGTACAATGGACCCACTTAGGGGAGTTGGAAAACTCTTACTCCACCCCAGAAGTGCTTATGGGCTCCAGGATCCTGAGGGAGCGAATGGCGTCTAATCTCACTGCTGGTCACCAGCTATCATGGGACTGCATCTCCTAACGTTGTTCCACTACCTTGTGGATTAGACCTCTAAGTCAAAGGCTTGGGGATTGGCCTCCTGAGAAAGCTGACTGTCTCAGTTAGGTCACTTGAGCAGTATCATAGCTCACACAAAAATTCAATTGTGTGGTGCATATATATTTTAATATACCTTTGTACCATTGTGCATATATTTAAATAAATAAATAATTATGAATTTTAACAGTTGAATTCATGAGTTGATCTAAGTTAGACCGCCATTGAAAACCCGGAAGCATTTGACGGTCGTTTTGTCTTAATGTGGGTCCCTCACGACCCCGCATTCTGGACTCGAATCCAGTGCAACCTCCACGAATCCTTATTCTGATAATCATGTGCTCACTAGTGACTAGCTCCAAGTCGGATTTCCTGGAGTTCTAGTGAGAAGCTGTGACTAGTGGAACCCATGCCGTGGGGCCAGTTATCCATTTCAGACAAGGGATACAGGGTTGATTGAAGTTAGACATTAACAACGTTGGATACCGTCTCAGGGGTCTCGAGGTTAAGACTGAAGGTCCTGGGTTCAAGTCCTACATGCGGGACCATAGGTACGCCCTGCTGATCGACTCACGAACTCAACTGTTAAAATTACCACAATCCCTACGAATCACTATTCTGAAAATATGAATTTATTTGATTGTACTTCTTTTTAATGTTTGTTTACATGCTTATTAGTCTCTGGCGTATACCATCATGAAATGGTGCATTAATTAGTGGATCACATCATTGATTTCAGTGACGTGATTATATTTTTAGTAGACATAATATGAAATTTTTCTAATTTTTACTAGTGTAGAAGATTTACAAGATGACATTGTTTGTCTGCTTTGGTCTACTAGTCGAAAAAAATTATAATTCAAAGTTCATTTTTTCGTAAATTTTATCACCTCATCTCCATATTGCCGTAGATTTTTAAAATTACTAGCAGTTAATATAATTGTCTGTTTTATAAATTCATCAACCTTGTTGTGCTTTCTTTGCTTACCTTTTTTCAGTTTGGTGCAGTTGGTTATGTTTCAAAAATCCTTGATGGTTTTTATCCATGCTATATCATTAAAATTGATGTAAACACTAAAGAACCTATTAGAGATCCCGTAACTGGATTATGCATACTATGTGAACCAAATGAACCTGGTCATTTCGTTGCACGTATTGGTTCAAATAATCCTTTTCGAATGTTTGATGGTTATGTTGATTCGGAAGCTTCCAAAAAGAAAATTATTCGAAATGTTTTACACAAGGGTGATTTATGGTTTGCTTCTGGTAAGAAGTTATTAGATGTATATCATTGCTATGTTTTGAGGTTATTTTGAAATGCTACCTGTTTCAACACTCCATAGACATACAGTTACTGTTTAAATATTTTGTCAACAATGTTTTTGAGTATAGGGATGCGTAACAAGGTTTTTTCAAGGTCACAGGTGCACTTCTTTTATGAGCACTATTGTGTTCAGAATGTCACTGAATATAGGAGTGTTTTAATTGATTTTATAAAAGTTACGGTGTTAAGACTAGACGTTGATAATTAAAAATAGCTTTTATCCTAGGCTTGACACAACTGAGTTAGAATAATAAGGATATCAGTTCAACAACATATGGAAATGAGAAGCAAAGATTAATCTATAATTTTAGATGAAACCAATCCTCCAAGTTTGCTTCGAACTGATGTTACCCAGCCTTGTGATCTGAGACGTTACCACTGAGTTATTTGTTTTACGACTGACTTATTGCAGTATTTAGTTACTTACATTGATTGATCGTTCAGCATTGGCTGATATATTTATCTAGCTCTTAGTGTTGATTGAATTATATCAATCAAGCCGCAATATGGTCACAAGTCTACGTGACTCAACAATAGATTAATTGTATAAATACCTCAGTCCTACAGAAAGTTAATCTGGGCGCGAATAGCCTGGTCATAGTTTCTCAGGCTATGGAACTAAGTGGCTCGGTTTAAAATTCAACAGTGAACACCATTTCCTTGAAGATGGTAGATATGCCTTGTGGACGAATACCAACTAGCACGGAACCTGGGTCCGGAGTTTTCTACTTGTTACTTCTAATTACCTAACATCTAAAATAGTACACAAAATAGCCAGTCACGTAGATTAGTGGATACATTGCAGCTTGGTCAATAGAATTCGATCAGCAATAAAAGTCAGATAAACATAACATTGGCTAATACTTAGTGATCAATCAGTGTAAGAGATAAGTCTTTTTGAAAAAACTTTTATATTTCAATAAGGAGTGTTATATGGACAAACATTACTCAGTACATTTTATTTGTATGGCCTTAGAATACAAGTGATAATACAGGTTATTAGGTTAATCAAAAGATAAGAGAAGAGGTTGAAACAAACTGTTAATGACTTCTTAATTATTTTACCATTTCCGTTAAATCTTAATTTTAGTAATAATATAAGTTTTAGAAGTGATTAACAAGTCCATAAAACTAGCCAGTGTAAATTCTGTAAAATAAGTAAATATTGTCCGAAGAAGTTACTGCAGCCTATTTATTCACTCATTGTATCCCCCCAAATGCCTCGGTACGGCCGAGAGTGGGGAGAGTCCTCTCTCCCTCTCGAAATGCTCTCACATGGCCAGCGAATATATAGTCTCTTCCAGGGAAGTCCTACTCACTGCCTTCTCGTGGCATTACTGTTGTTTACGAAATTGAGAGGACCAAAACCGAATGTCCGGCGCTTTAACCTGGTTGGTGGACAAGGCGAGTCCACCTAGGGGAGTTGAAAAACCCTGATTCCAAACCAATGGTGCACATGGGCTCTAGTATCGTTAGGGAACAAATGGCGTACGAATCAATCGTTGATCACCTGCTACCATGGGACTGCATTTCCTCACGGTGCTCCGCTGCCTTGTGGACCAGATCTTTCGGTCAAAAGCTCCGGGTGTGGGCTCCTAAGAAAACCACCTGCTTCAGTTTGGGCACCTGGGCAGTATCACAGCCCTCAAGCAAATCGAATGAGATTTGTATGGCGCATATGTATTTGGTGTTTCCTTTTATCAATATTTGTGTTTAAATAAATAAATAAATAAATATTCACTCATTAGACGTATAAATTTTCTCAATATGCCTACATGTTGTTCGTGATTTTAGGATATCGATACTATTTTATCTAAATCCTGCTAAAAACTGTCGTAAACAAGCTGAATACTTGATTAACGACACATCTGTCACTTGTATCTTCACTACTGTTGAAAATTTGCTGAACCAAGATATAGAATATGATTATTATCAATTATTATTCAATACTCAATACTTAAGGACATTAATCAATTTCAGTGCTATTCAATTTTAACTTAACTTCATTTTACGTGATCAATCTATCTATCTAACTTAATAATCTGATTGCGTAATATTTTTTTTGCAGCAATTTTATTCATTACATATTTGCTGATTTCGAACTTACTTAATTCTTATTCTTACGTAACAATTTGTTATTGACTAACTGGTCTTATTTTTAGATTTATTTCTACATCCGTTAAGTTTCTAACTGATACGTTGCTCAAATGATCAATTATCATTTATTTGCAATTGATTTTATCCTTATACTTATACATTAGGATAGAGCCTTAATGAAGAACTAATTGGGAAGGAAAATTGCTTTCTGCACAAGTTCAGTCAGTCAGCTATAACGTAGGACCAGGCACATTTATGCATCGATCCAAGTTGCCATACCCCATTAGCACAACAAGATGAAAACACCGGATTCATAGAAGTAGTTAATTTAGTGATGGTAGTATATAAAAGATAGGTTGTGTATAAGGATATAGTATAGGAAGGAAGAAAGTTATGAAGTAATTTTAATCTTAAGGTTTAAGGGAAGATAAAGAGTGTATACACCTACACCATTGTGATCGATTCTGAGCCATATCACCTAGAGTCTCCAACCATTGGTTACATTGGTTACGTTACAAAATAACTTCTGCTCAACTTATTTTGTAACGTCTTAATTATGCTACTTTAGACATAAGTTTTAGACTTGTGGATACTGAATCATTTAGTTTCATATTTATGTTTGGAAGAATTCTTGAAAATATTGCGAATTCATACTGGCATAGTTTTGAATATTATAGTAATATCACAGTATCGAATGTGTTACTTACGTAGCTGATATTATGTTATATTAATTACTGGTTCGAATAAATACTTCGTTACTAAGCCATTCGTACTTTTATTAAAATCATCTTAATCAACTTTCACTTGCTGTAACTCTAATATTGGGTATTGTACTAAGGTTTGAAGCATACTGGTTATGTGATGGTTTGTGTTGTTGCTCATTTGTTCAAACCGAAATAGATGAATCATCTTAGACTTATTTGACCTTATTGTATTGAAAGTCGTTCGGTTTAACTATTAAACCCATACAACATTGTTATCGCTTTCTTTCGTTAATCTTGAATCTATCGAATGTCTTTTAATTAACCATAAATCAATATAAAGTTGTAATTGTAATCGAAAGAAGGAGTAGACCTATTTCAATTTATTATATTTTTGATGTAGATAGCTTTTAGGTGGAGTTCTGTTCTCTGAGCTAGTTTGGTCGTGGAACTTTAATTGTTCTTCTGAACATCATCAGCATAAATCTCTCCACGATCAAACCATACAGCTTAGAGGACAGGAACTCACCTTAATCATCCAGCTGAGCTACAAATCTCCACCATCACATATAGTTTTTTTATTTTTAAGTTATATATATATATATGTATATATATTTATGGTAGATCATACAAAATTACTATTAACAAATTATATTTTTGAGACTAAAATTTACTCCTTGGCTAAATTGTCCCATAAAAAAAATACTTAAACGTCTTTTTGTTCTGTTTTAATTTAAGGGGATTTAATGTGCTGTGATGATTTGGGTTATATATACTTTATCGATCGGTTAGGTGATACATTTAGATGGCATGGGGAAAATGTATCCACTGCAGAAGTTGAACGTGTTTTAGATCAAGCTATTGGAACATTAACTGGAACTGTATTCGGTGTTTCTATTCCTGGAACAGAGGGAAAAGCTGGAATGGCTGCTATTGCATTAGAAGGATTAAAACTTAATTCTACAGAAGAAGAAAATTTGGTTCATCGAATAAATAAAGAGTTTACAGAGCACTTGCCTCCTTATGCACGTCCTATATTCTTACGGTTGTGTCAAAATCTGGCTATGACTAGTATGTTAAATTCACTTCTTTTTTCACTCATCATTATAATTTTTATGTTACTGATTAAACGTTCTTTTCTATGTAGGTAGGTTTATATTTCATATAATGTCATACATTTAAATCAGGGCTCATATCAGAACGTTCTTATTTTATTTTCCTCGAATTCAAGTTTATTAGTATCATTATTAAAAAGGATTTGAATTATCCTATTGTTAGCGAAGATGGATAGTGGCTAGCAGTGGAATCCAGGATGCGCGTTTCGTCCTATTCGGGACTCCTCACCTGGATGTGCCTCCTTCTCAGAGTTGATGTTCACTCTGGGACTCGAACCCAGTACCTTTCGCTTCAAAGGCCATCGCGTTATCCACTCAGCTACTGAGTCCTGATAGCCACTTGCTTGTGAAATGGGATGAAGTTTAAATTCACTTGGTATTGTTTGTTTGAATCTTCCCTTTGATGTTTACGACTGCAATTGATCAGTCTCTTATTGGCATATGTGCATACTGTGAGTATTGCCTCGATATATTTCAAAGAATGTAAGTCACGATTGAAAAGCTTTACGATCTCATCAACTGACTCACCATTTCTACCGGAATGTTACTCTTAATTTCAGGATTACTTATTCGGTTATATAATAGGCATATATTATAAGCATAGAATAAGAACCTACACAGATCTCTGTTAGTCGTAAGGTATGTTTTGCACCCATTAAATATTCAGTAACAAATTAATGAATAATACACTTTATCTTTTACTAAGTAACAAACATCTGGGTTACATAATAGATGTTGAATTTTCTGTTATTAATGTTTATGGGAACTAATTAGCAATTAAACTGTCTGAAATAGTATTTATTGGCAAATTAATTTTACTTACATGCTAAGTAAATTTAAATCAAAATCTGGTTAACGGATGGTAATTCCGTTTGTTGAGCTCAATAATTGTTTTTTGGGATTTCTGATTCAGAATCCTGTTACAATACTCTCATACTTTCTACCTCATTCATCATCCCTGTACATTAAATGATACTTATCATCCTTCATATTTCTAGATAACCTTGACTATTCAACTTACAATTTTCAATATTTTAACAGGTTAAAGTATTAATCAAATAAACATTTTTAAATCAAAATGCACTGAGTTACATTTATCAAATGAAGCTTACAGAACACTTGTTAATAGGGTCGTTCATACTTCACATTTCATCATGGAAGACATAATATATGTATGTTTGATATTTTATGGGCTTTGAAAGTACCTAGCTGAGCATTAAATTATCCGAAAAACGACAAATCATCTGTAACGAAAGTTTTCAGTGTATGGAGTAAAACCCATTAATGTTGAGTAAATGATAGATAATGTGTAATAAACCTAATCTTTACAAATCGTTCTGATTTTTATTGTTAATTTTGCACTTTTAATGCACGTTATATAATATTATAACACGATACACATGATCTATGTAAGCGAAGTTACCACGTGATTGAACTTAATTGTAATTAACTGACTTAATTGTAAATCTTAGTAGAATACAATATTGGACCTAAATGTTTGATTTATATACTTCCTTTTATAAATTTGAGTGTGATAAAAAAAGGAAACTATAGTACAATCCCACTATTGTAGTGAACGAGAATACAGGTGGTGACAACCAAATGTATTTTAGGACAAAATTACAGAACACTTTGGTAAAATATGAGAACCATACATTGAGTACTTCTTTTGCAAGTTTCCATCATTTTTGCTTCACATTCTGTATGATTCTCCCTGTTCTTAGTTTTTTTCGATTCCTTCTTCTATTCTTTTCATCTTCTTAGCCTTCTGCTACCAAGGTTTCCACTTCCGATTGGTGTTACATACTACTTATATCTGTTGACCACACTGTAATTTATTAAATAAATTGAATATGTCAAGCGGTTTTCACTAGTGGTACTTTTATTCATATCCATTCATTAGATAGATTACTATAGTTCTTGTCCAGTCGTGCGCTATCATCTTCCATCCTACATGTCTAAAGTGTAGATATTAAGAACACTGACACATATCAAGTGTCGAATTATCTGTTGTTTATATTTGTCTGGCCTATATATTTTTATGTTTCACAGGGAATTATGCACACTAATTTAATTGCTGGCTTACTCTCTCAATTTCGAGTTTATTTATTTATTTATTTGAATTTACTATTTCATGTGAGTGGTATTTTTTTACTGCCATTTTCTGTCATGTTCTTATGCATATGTCATGCGCTGAATATGGTGAATCAATATATTCCAGTCAGATGTTGATTGGTGATATGTAACTCAGACAGTAATTCAACTGATAAATGCATCGATCTAGTTCAATAGAAAAAAACATCCAGGCTGCGATCTGGATTATTTTCAATCAGTCATTTTGGAATACTATAAGGTGCAATATAATACAGTTGCATTCACTCTCCATCTTTTTTTTAATCTTGAATTCCATCATCTCTTCATACATACCCTTCCACTTCTTTTTTAAAACCATATTCTCTTGGTTTAGTCTTTCCTTTTACCATTATTATTCCTGGATTATTTCGGTCTCTTTTATTATTTTCATTTCGTTATGGTAATCTGGTTTGGTAGTTTGGGCCAACGCACATCTATACCAAGTTTTATATTGATAATGTCTGCCTATTTACAGTTTGTATTCATTTAATCTTATTTACTTTATTTATTTGAACACATAAATATTGGTACAAAGAGGCACCGAATACATATGCGCCACACAAATCTCATTTGATTTCTGTGAGGGATGTGATACTGTTCAGGTGTCCAAACTGAGGCGGGTGGTTATCTTAGGGGGCCACACTCAAAGCCTTTGATCTAACGGTCTCATCCACAAGGTAGTGGAGCATCGTGAGGAGATGCAATCCCATGGTAGCCGGTCACCAACGATTGATTCATACGCCATTTGTTCCCTAACGATACTGGAGCCCATGTGCACCATTGGTTCGGGATCAGGGATTTACAACTCCCCTAGGTGGACTCGCCGTGTCTACCAACCCGAATAAAGCGCTGGACATTCGCTTTCAGTCCTCTCAATTTCGTAAACAACACCCCCGCCAGGAGAAGACAGTGAGTAGGACTTCCCTGTCAGAGGCTATATACGCATGGCCATGTGCTAGCATTTGGAGAGAGAAAGTGGACTCTTCCCACTCTCGATCGTACCAGGGCATTTGGGGACATTCATTTAATCTGTTGATAAAAATATCATTAAGAACTATAGATTCATATTTCACCCACTTCAATGTGACAGAATTACGTAAGATAATTTACTTCACCAATAGTAATGTTATGAACGGAGACTTATCACGGGAAAACCAATTTGCTGTTTAATGCACAATCACCCAGCGGTTTAGTATAATGTGAAAATCATACATCATTTTCACATCTTTGAATTATCTCTTACAAGCTTAATTAATCCTACATTCCTATTGTTATCTTGATTGCTTTCAGTTTTCTACTCTCTTCTCTTCATTTCAATTTTCTCAATCTTTTGCTCGCAGATATTCCACTTCTGACTGGTGTTATATACTACTTATATCTGCAAACATACGTAACATACACCACAGCACCACACTAAACTCCATAATAATAATAACTTTGAAAAAAACATACAAACAATAGGACTGATAACTAAACTTTGTCACATTAATATTCATGTGTTAAAGTTCTGTTGTTTTTCTTTTTTTTGTACATAAAATTCGTTTTTGTCTATGAATTCATAATATAATATTTACTATCCAAGCTTTATCTATTAAAAACAAAAGATATCTGTTCAAGAGGGGAAAACTAAGTTCCAGTCTCAAAACTTAAAAAAAACACGACAAAGAACGAAAGAATTAAACTTAATCATTGCACTGCTCAAGCTCATACATACACACACACACACCATGAAAATGATATTATATTAAAAAAAAGCAAACAAACCTTGTTTTTGATACATTGAACTTGTAGTAGTGTTTGTGCTTTTTATTTTTCAAAATAAGGTATCACAGGTAATAATAGATACTGTAATATATTGGGAACAATTAATATAAATGTATTTAAAACACTCATTCTAACTACATTTCCATTTTTGTTATTCATCTGTTTTGTTAATTAGATAGTTACTTACTTACGCCTGTTACCCCTCGTCGAGGAGCATAGGCCGCTCACCAGCATTCTCCATCCAACTCTGTTCTGAGCCTTCCTTTCCAGTTAACATTCATCCTTTTCATATCTGCCTCTAGTAGTGTGTTCTTTGGCCTTCCTCTTTTCCGCTTCCCTTCATCATTCCAAGTTAGGGATTGCCTTGTAATGCACATTGGTGATTTCCTTAATGTATATCCGATCCACTTCCAACCTCTTTTCCTAATTTCCTCTTCAGCTGGAACCTACTGGTTTGTCCTCTCCCATAAAACGCTGTTGCTGATAGTATCCGGCCAATCGATGTTGAGTATTTTGCGTAGACAACTGTTTATAAATACTTGTACCTTCCTGATGATGGTCGTAGTAGTTCTCCAGGTTTCAGTTCCATACAGTAGGACTGTCTCGACGTTCTTACTAAAGATTCTGACCTTGAAATTGGTTGAGAGTTGTTTTGAGTTCCATATGTTCTTCAATTGTAGAAATGCTGCCCTTGCTTTGCCAATCCTCGCATTTACATCTGCATCCGATCCTCCTCGTTTATCAACGATGCTCCCCAGGTACTTGAATGTTTCCACCTCTTCCAGAGTTTCTCCACCAAGTGTGATTGGGTTGGTGTTCTCCGTGTTGTATTTGAAAATCTTGCTTTTTCTTTTGTGAATGTGGAGGCCTATCGATGCAGAGGCTACTGCTACATTTGCTGTCTTCATCTGCATTTGTTCGTGTGTATGAGAGAGGAGGGCTAGGTCATCTGCGAAGTCCATATGATCTAATTGATTCAGAGCTGTCCATTGTATTCCGTATTTTCCTTCAGATGTCGAATTCTTCATAATCCAGTCAATCACTAGAAGGAAGAGGAAT